TTATTATTTTATTATTATTATTTTATTATTATTATTTTATTATTATTATTTTATTATTATTATTTTATTATTATTATTATTTATTACGCTCTGAGTTCTATTCCCCCTCCCCACCTGGAAATAAATCTCTTCCAAAGGCAAAACACAAGCAGAGGAGTTTCAGTTTCACAGCACCCAGCAGCTTTAGTGCAGAACAGTTGAGCTAAGCCATGCCCAGGCTCCTTACTGTCTCCTTGCTCCCAGAGCAAATACTCTTTCAGTTTCCAAACAGCCCTCCACTCTCTCACCCATGTCAGGACACTAGCCAGATGAATACCAATGGAGGCTGGTAGGCAGAATGTTTCACCTTCCTTATTTTCCTCCCCCAAAACTAAGCCCCACCATATAGTTTCTTGCTCACACAGCAAATACTCTTTCAGTTTCCGAGCAGCCCTCCACTCTCTCACACACTGACAGGACGCTAGCCGGATGAATACCGATGGAGGCTGGTTGGCCGGGGGCGGATGCCCCCCCCCCCGCCCCCCTCTATTTTCTTCCCCAACCACATAGTTTCGTAGCGACGCAAAGGTATCGAGCTAGTGTACAATATTTGGATTTTTTTTCCCGCCACCCCACCTGCGGGAAGAGGTGAGACGTCCCACTTGCAATCCCCACTATTGGAAATGCAGCTTCCAATGTAAGGAAAGCCGCCTTTCGCCCCCTCCCCTAAATGCCCCCCCGCCACCCCACCCCCCAAAACACAGTCAGAAACAAGCCAGGGTTCTTAAGGTATTTTATTGGTGTTTCTGTGCAGGTAAACACACCTGGGCCCTCCCCTCCCCAGGTGATGTGCCCAGAAGCCCCCTCCCCTTCTTGCAACCTTCGGGCCCTCCCACCTCCCAAAACACAAGGCCCCCTCTGGCTTCCCTGGGGGGGGGTTGTAACAGAAGAGGAGGGGGCTATAGCCTTCCCCCGCCATCCTCACCCTGGCATAGGGGGTCTCAACGTGTGTGTGTCCCCCCCCCCAGAGTTTAGCACCATGGAACAACAGGGTTGCAACGACCTTGCAAAGGGAAGGAGGGGGAGGGGGCTCTTCCTTGGAAATGGGGAGGTGGGGGGGCTCACCCCCCCTCATCTTCCCATACTCCCCCCGTTCCCCCCCCCACATGGCCTGTCCCCCCCTCCTCACATTGGCACTGCCTCCTCTTGCACTCCCCAATGCCAGCCTGGGTACCCCACGAGTGTCCCTGGGGGGGAGGGAGAAGGGAGGGGGGGGGTCAGGT